ATAAAAAGCTAAAAAAAAAACAAATAATAATACAACAAGAATAATAAAAAATAATGCTGCACCAAAGCTACATATAATAGTCTTCACAGGTGAAAAAAAAACAATAAAAAATTTTCAAAGATTACGTTACTGCCTTAGATAATAATCTATACCAAATTTCGTTAGGGAATCTCATCAAATGGAACAGTTTTTCATGCAAGCACTTGATTCCGATCGTTCAGTTCGTATGGGAGCTAAAGGCTATAGTGATCGGATCTGCACAATTTCTTCGGAGATTACATTATTGCCTTAGATAATAATTGAGGCCAAAGTTCGTGAACATATCTCATCTAATGAAAAAGTTTTCCATATAAACACTTGATGCCCATCGATCAGTTTGTATGACAGCTATGAGCAATAGCGATCCAACATAGGCGGTTCTGCATAAAAAGTCATAAAAAGCTATAAAAATAAAAAGAAATAACAATTATATAAAAATAAAAAAAATTAAATTAACATAAAAAATTAAATTAAATAAAAAATATATATTTTTCTTTACGAAAACAATAACACACCTGCCACATGTATTTTTATTACAAAAATATACAATACATATATATAGTATATACATATCTGCGCAGGTAAACAATTTCTTGTTTATTATAACCTGCATGTGTTGGGTTTTTGTTGTACGTTTTCCATTCGCTTGTTTGCTACAGTTCGCATTATTACTATATTTGTGCTAAAAAATGTTTATTAGCTTATTGCCATATTTGTTGTTGCTCATTGCAACTTTCATTGTTTATGTTAAGTAGCAGCCGACATATTTATGGGCAAATATAAATGTTTGTATGTATGTGTTTGTATTAGCTGCACACGATTTTCCGCAATRTACCGCTAATTCTGTCGATCACTAAATTATTTGACCTCTCCATGCCATTTCAAATGCAAATGAGCAAGAGTATAAGACACATTTGTATAAAGGTGCCACTTAAGAAGAAGAAAGAAATGTATTCAATAATAATRAAAAAAATTTACATTAAAATAAAAGAATTAATATTAGGATGGGTAAAAAAAAAACGAATATTTTTTTCGATTCGTTACTTTTTTTACACCCTTACTTTGCTCAAAATTTCTTATCCTGTCCCATCTGACAAAAAAAAAAACTAAGTTAGTATGATCTTCTATAAACGATTCACTTTTGTTAAAGCGCTCTGTGACCCCGTAACCTAGTTCCTACCRCCAATAACCATTCAATTCAAATATCTCTGAACTCGACGGTAGGGTATTCTGCAATGACGAACAAGTAGTTTCAATGGAATCAAAAATAGATTATTTTGAAGGCAAGTAAACAAATAAAAGCGCGCTGATAAGCGGTGAGTTAAAAATAAAACGTGCTTAGACGCACTTTCGAAAGCTTATCTGAGCTTACGCATTTGTCTCTGCCTGAACTCTACACACGAGCACTAAATAAGTTCAAAAGTTATCTGGGGGTGGAGTATGTATCGAAAGTTATAATTATATATAGTTCAGTTTTCTCGTCCTAGTTTGGGAATTGAGGTTTTAAGCATCCTTCAGCGAGAAAACAACAGAAGACAACATGATCCTAGCTACTGAAACTCAGCTTAAACTTGAGTCATTATCAGAATTATCATTTCAAGGTTCTCTACTTTTTTTCTTAAAGAAAAAAGACAGAAATTTCAAAATTAAAGGGGAAAGTTTATTATCATTCGAAAAAACATTTTTTGGTATTTATTTTTTAAAGATTATCTCTTTCAAATATTGGTCGTGACTACGTCTCAGATGGTCCGTCCGTTGAGTCTAATTTTCGATCACTTGTTCGAGCATTTCGACTCCCAATATCATACGATCTTGGTGGCCAATCGACCGGCCCAAAATGAGAAAATATCTGCATTGATTGGTGTTAGAAGTGGCGCCGACTTGTTGAAGCCAAATGTCGCCGAGATCACGAGCTTCAATTTCAGGCATCAAATAGTCGATTGTCATCGCGTGATAATGATCGCCATTGCCGATAGCGTTCTCACCGGCATCATTTTGGAAGAAGTATGGACCGACGATTCCAACGGCCCACAAACTACATCAAAGCGTTGTTTTTTCTGAATGAAATGGTAGCTGTTGAATGTCTTCAGGTTGCTCGTTGTCCCAAWTATGGCTATTTTGCATGTTTACATACCTATTGAGCCAGCAATGGGTCTCACCGCTGAAATAAATTTGTACTGAAAACGTCGGATCTACTTAGAACTTTTCTAGAGCTCATAGAACGCAGCGATGTCGCTTGAAAAGGTAGCGCGCCTTCAGTTCTTCACTGCGTGCAGCAGAGATCGAATTTGTAGTAAACTAGCCATTAGATCCATGCTAAACTCTACTAAGTAAGACTTAGATATAGCTGTAGAATTTTGAAGTATTTTCACAGGAGACAGAGCTCGTGAAAAGGAGTAGAGCGGCATGTCCTAAACGGATATCATGCATATGAATCCGCATGAAGCCTGTTCTTATAAGTTTATTATTGTCCAGTAAACCGCCATACTTAAGTGTTCTATTCAACCACTTCAAAGACACCTGCTCACAATGCGTTCTGGCGCCAATAGTATGAGTAATAAAATCGCACATAAAAAAACCCAAAACAATGTGGGTCATTGCCATCATAGGAGGCGCGCTGGGCTTGAAATCCAAAACGGCTATCGAATTTTCATATTCTACTGAAATTTCACAAAAYCAYTGCTTTCAGCAACAACAAGCATTTAACACCTGAATAAGACATCCGCTAGTTATGTGCCAAGCGCGGCGCTAACAGCCGATAAGACGGCGCGTCAGTGAGGCAGTCAAGCGACGCGGAAAGACTCACTCGAACATGAAATATGAGCKGGACTGCAGCGAATTATTGCAAGCGGTCGCCAGCGCATGTGCACAGACTATTTAACTGCAATATTTACATATTTGTTTGTGTGTGTGTGTGTATGTGTGTATACTAAATAAATAAATCTACACGGGCTTTGGCGCTATTGCACTGACATGTTTCCTAACTTCACTTTTCTTCTTCTTACACATTTGCAGTTTGAATAGCATACAGAGGAGCCAKTGTTGGCGGTGAAAAAGCATACTACAAACACAATAAGGAGAAAGTTATGTTCAAAGCAAGTAATGCTGGCAACAGCACAACAACAGAAGAACGTGATCGCCTAACAGATGGCGAAAAGTCACGCACCTCCTATCGTTCCCGACCATTCTCTAGTCTTCCACGACGTTTCTTGTCGGCCAAGAACTGCGCAGTAGTGGAGACTGATGCAGAGWGYACGCACGCTTTGGRKAATGAGAGCGCGCAATTGAGAGACGTGCGGACAGCGAGAAGTTTATCGCGCTTGAATACGCTTAACTATGATAATGCTGCAATAGATTTAGCTGAGGGTAGCTTAGGAAGTGCAAAGAATAGCTTTCAAATTAGTAGTTTGGATATATTTCCACAAATAAGTAATAGTAACGATACAACGGTCTCAATGGAGATGGAGCAGTTGCAAGATATAAGACGTGAGGATATTTTCCCATATGAACGTACACCGACTGATTCCTCGTGGGATGGCAGTGATCTCGAAAACGAATCCATGCGTTCAACAGATACCAGCGACTGTACGCCCGACGATGCGACACGTGTGCTCAATGAGCTCGACACGATTTTGGATATACACGGTGCGACACCGCTGAACACGACCAATTCATTGGAGACTAAAGTCGAAGACTGTTTATTGGATTTAGATAATTATCTAGAAGAGATGGACGATTATAGTTTTAGTAATAATGATGAGGACGATAAGAGTTCGAMAGAATTGGCGCGTACGCCAAGCCCGAAACGTTTAACTACACGACAACGTAATCGTTCGTTGCCGATAAGTCGTAAAAAGAGTACACAACAGMACACAGCCGAGCGGGAGCAGAATGAGGAGGCAAGCGTCGTGGGAGGCAGCATAGAACGCGGTCAGCTACTGAGACGCACAATTACCTCACCGAAAGAGAAGTTGTACGAGGGTAAGAGCAAATGCAATTCCTCAGTTATTTATATAACTCAAACAGCAACTTCAACACTACTTTCAGATCTAATGGAGCGATTGGAGGACACATCGCGTGAAGTTACACGCCTGCCCAGCGAGGAGGCTTTCAATGAACTCTTCATAACCGAGGATAACAATGAGCGCACAAATTTGCAGTCAACCGATMCACCACCTTGGACGGAGACAACATACGACGCACGTCACGACAGTAAAGCTTTAGCCGATAATGACGACTTGGCCGCTACGCGTCTCACGGATTTCACAGAACATCACAGTATTAGCGCACRAAATGAGGAGACATYGGCAGAGTATGTAACAGACACTTTGCCTTTGCGACCCGAGCTCAGACGTTGTCACTCACAGAATCGGCTGAGCACAACTAGCACGAACAGTCGCACTGAAATGCTGACGCAAGAAGATATTTTTAATAATTTATTACWACAAAACGACAACAGCAGCAGCACTTTGGTGAATAGACCGCGYCAATTTGGACGTCGCGCAGCCGGTCAACCGCCTGTACTCTCCGTACGACCTGATATACTAGAAGGCAATCATAGCTTCGGCTCAGCTGGCAACAACCAACGGCCGCAGAGCGCACCTGCAATTACCACAGCGGCGCGTCAAACGCGTAACGCCTCACACGCTGCCGACGAACGCCATTCGAACTTCTTGGTGGGTTCCGACGGGAGTTCAGCGCATACGTCGCGCAATTCCAGCCCCATCACCATCGTATCCAGCACAGACTCCGCCTCGACCACGCCTTCCACCAATGGTGGTCACAACGCGGCTATGACACTCGTCACAAACGGTCGTTACGAACAAACGGATGCGGATCATAATAACACGACACACGCAAGCGCACAGGACAGCGTTAAGGAGTGGCCACATATGTGCAGTCGCGCTTTCGCACTACTCTGCTGTACTGTGGGTCTATTTAATATGTCACGCTTTGCGGTGCTGACCGTTGAGTATGGTGGCAATTTTGTTTTGCAATTCTTTTTGCTCTCCATACTTTTTGGCATACCGCTTTTCCTGCTGCACATGTGTTTGGGCTCAAGAATTAAGGCCGGTCCGGTGTCAATGTGGAAGATCAGTCCGATATGTCGTGGCATCGGTATTGCTTTGGTGTTGGTGCAATGTTCCATTGCCATTTATTCGACCGTCGCCATCGGTTGGGTGCTAATCTATCTGCGTGACACATTTCCGCACAAGGGACAGGACGGTTACATGTGGCAGGAATCGATTAATCCCTATCGGCGCGGCACAAATGGCTCTGCGAATATAACCGAAAGCATCACTGACTATTTTAATATTGTTGTGTTGCAGCGTTTGCACCTGTTGAAGCCGGCAGATGGTGGTAATGTACGTTTTCGTGTGAGTAATCGGGTAAGTGAGTTGARGATTTTGTTCGACCTTTCAGTTTTAACAAATATTTTTTTAAATTTAAATTATAGTTGGCCTTCAATTTGACCCTGATTTGGGGTTTTGTATTCCTAGTTTTGTGCAAAGGTCTGAGATCGTTCGGTAATGCGGTCTTTCCGCTCATCCTTGTGCCAATCGTCGCTTTGGCATGTGTGATTTGTAAACTACTCTACATCGTGGATCCCGTAAAATTACAGGTAAATAGAGGAGATTTTTTTGAAAGTTTCCAATAAGAACTGTAAATTATCTTACGATCGAGTTCAAAGCCTCAGCTTTGAGACTGACACATGAGCTTGGCAGTATGTATTCTGTGAAAACCGTTTCCCAAAGATCTTTGCAAAATGAGCGAGAGAATRCAAATAATGTATTCGCACTAACATATTTGAACTCTGTGGCTCCAACCCCTATAAATCTTTGTAAGAATCGTGTACATAACATTTACTATTTTTCGCCACAGAACGCCTTGAGCAGCACCGATTTCAGTGACTTCTTTGAAAATTCCAAAATGTGGGTTGCTGCCGCACAGGAAGTTTTCCTCACCTGGGGTCTACTTGGYTCTTCAGTAATCTCCATCACAAGCCGTGGACATCCGCCTAGTCGCAGTGAAATATCGTTAAGACGCGATTGTATCTTTGCCATAACGCTTACATTCTTCAGTCTCACTATGGCAGCAATGATGGGACAACTTTGTGTCCTTATACTGAATCAGCATTCCTACATTTATGTGCCGGGTTCGTTTGGTAAGTCGCAAATCTATTTAAAAACGTCATATGAATAACATACTTTGCTTATATAATAGAATCACTGGAATCGTCAAAGTCCGTCTTCGCGCCAGAGTCCATAACCAACTTGAATATCATTTCGATACCAGCGAAATGGATGCCACATTACTCCAGTTTTATTGGAGAGTCATATCGACGACAGTTAACGCTTCAAGAAAGCGGCTATCAAGCTTTACGTTTCGTCAGCGAAATCCTGCCGGCCACATTTATAGCCGCACGTGTCAACCTCTCGTGGATTTGGGCCGCTGTGATTTTCGGCTCTTTAGCCTTGTTGGGCATATCACAATTGTGCGCCATGTGGAAACCCATTGCCAACGCATTGGGCAATTCARTTAGCGCAGTTTTATTGAGTTGCGTCACTGCYATGCTCTTGGGTGTACCSTTCACAACCGAAATCGGCATWTCCATAYTRTATTATATGGACTTGGTGCTAGGTGGCTCATGGTTTGTGGCTATACTATGGACGGCACAGATATTTGGTGTATTCTTGATACGTGGACGCCCATACAATGGTGATGATTTGGTGAATAAATTGAAGTTTACGAATTCTCTGTCCGCGTTCGTCGCCTTGGCATGGAATGTTTTACTGCCGATTGGTTTGATAACACTCTCGGTGGTCAGCTATAAGTCATCGTTCTCGAATCAGTTCTATTATTGGCGTGGCAAGTCGTATTTCACCTACTGGGCCAGGAAAGTGGCAGCTTCATTGCAAATTGGTTTCCTACTGCTAATACCGGTTACAGCGATTATACAGATTTATCGATATTTAACAAATGGACCGCCGGATATATTGGATGTAAGTGTTATTGATCAACTGGTTCTTATAAGAAAATATAACCGGGTTGATAATGATGGTAAAAAAATAATAAAAATCTCTTCCAATAACTTCAAAGAATGGGAATAAGCATGAGATCCATTCTTTGGAAGGCAGTATTTTACTTCCGCCTCTATTCCTGACGAAAAAACCTCTTTAAAAAATTCATATGCGCTTCAGAAATGGTACCTCTAAGAGGTAGTATCTAGCAAAGATCACAGCTACAGGTGAGCGGTTTCGTAAGCCAAGATTTGTTCGGAGAAAAAAGCGATCTCAAACTTTTTCATCCAACACCTTGTCGAGAAAACTATACACAACTAAGGGTTCTTCCTTCTCTGACTAGTGGTCTCACACTTTATCATTAAAATTAAAAATTTCTATCAGCTAAATGAAATAGATCCTGTTTGCGAATTTCAAATTTATAACGTCGAAGCTCACCAAGGCTGGTTTTCACGCCGTACATAGACTTATAGGTCCCTGCAATACCATATGGAGCATTGTTATTAATATCGAGCTTCACGTCGTACAAGAATGTCAAAGCTTTTTGCGAAATTTAGTTATCTACTTCTGATAATTTCTCCAGTCTCCGTTGAACTGTGCAGCTCCTAGGCCGGACATAAGCAAAGGAGGTGCTCCAGCGTCTAGTAGAGACTTTATATGTATCTAATTCTTATACTTCCTATAGTCCCCGGAACTGTGAAGCTCCTAGGTATCTAAGCCGAACTCTAGATTAGGCCGGACATAAGCTAAGGAAGTGCTCCAGCGTCGCTTTTATATCTACTTTTCTGCGGTGTATACCTTCGGCTCCCTTTGACATAATCTTGGCGATCTTGCGAGCCTTTAAACCATTCCATCTAACCTTGATCTGTTCCTTAAGCCTTTCAAAAATTTCATTGTGTATCGTTTTCAACGACGAGGATTTCATGAGATGGTTTGGTAGTCAAGCGAGTTGCACTGTTGGCAATCTCATCAGCTCTTTCATTTACTGGACCTAAAACCTTCTCTCCCAGATAAAACGTGTGRTGTGGTATATTAAATACYCCGACTCCTTGTCYACCGAGCTATGTATGTCAGAAGGTTCTTGTGTTCCACGAATCTTGGCAGRTTGAGTAACCTTCTAAGTGCAACCGTTGGTGTGGTTCTAAGAGCTCYTGAAGCTCACCTAATATTTCTGAAATTTTAAAGTTACAAAAGAGTTATTAGAAAATTTGCTCGGTAAACATTATTTTTCCGTTTGATTTTCGAAGACTTTCAAAACACSACTAAATATTCTCCCCCAACTTTGCAGCGCATCCAATTACTCTATCGTCCTGGCGAAAGTTTACGTGAAATACGCAACAGTTCCTTAAGTGAACGCAGCAGAAGCGACTATGGACGTGGCGGTGGCAATGGCGCCGTTGGAAAYCTCGAACTCAACTCATATCAGGCACAAGATGATGCGCCGCCGAAATATACGCCACCACCATCGTACACCACAGCGACTGGCGCGCGTTTCGCCAAAATACTACGACAAAGCATACGACGCAGTGTACGCCGGTAATTACAAAACAATTTAAAYTTTATTATGAACTAGTACTAATGTACCGTTAACTCTCCCTTAATTCGTATGCTTAGTGTGCTCGGTGATCGCAGTCGCGCACGCCCCATACTCACCATCGACTCGGAGAGTAATCAACCCACTACATCGCTACATACACACGAAGTAGCTGCACCACATTACACGAGCGCCGACATACCGATTACAAATACGGCGCTCACAACATCCGATCAACAGCAAACTTTTCCATGCAGCTCCGGCGAGCAATTACAGCGTTCACTGTCGCTCGGTCGTAAGTTTACTGTTAAACAACAACATCAACAACATCACACAATTGGYGGCGGCGTCGTGCGCAGTCAACGTGCACTCACCGCGGATGCCGGACAGCGCAATCTACGTGGTGCCCCGTACACTGCGGACGACGTGGTCACCGTGCTGCGCTCGACTTCGCATGCGACWGCCCAGATGCGTCCCGACACCGTRGCGGTTGTGTCGCCCTCGACGCCCGAACTCTGCGAACTTCCAGCGAACAATTATTCGTCGTTCCGTTCGATTGAGAATCTGGTGACGAATGCAGCGCCGATGGCGCGTAGCGCAGCATTCACAGCAGCTGCGGCGTCGACGCACGACGAGGACGCCAACGGCAGCGGAAGTAATACATCTGTGATTTAAAAGAAATGAAAAGTGAGGAAGAGTGGAGGTGAAATAAGCAAAGTAACTAAATGTGTTTTTGCGTGTACTATCTATGTAAATAGTTATATATATATTAAAAGCGTATAAGTGTAATAAATAATTATGATAAATAATACAAGTAATAAATAAATACTAATTGTCGAAATATTTGAATTTTTCAATTTTTCGAATTTTCGATTTTAATTTTCTATTGAAATTGTCTCCATTATGCTCTCCATTAGCGTACATTTTCCAATTAGCCAGCCATTGAGTGCGCTGGCTACGTGTTAGTATCGATGTGTATATGTGTCTATTGTCCTTTGACACCTTCTTTTGAGCTTTAATTACATTAGCTATGTGTGTGTGTGTGTTAATGCTTTCACACCCTTAACTTAAGTGGGTACCCACATCTAAGAGGCCTGATTTTGTGAGAAGATTTAATTATAAATTGCTCACCAACAAATTAATTGAGAACACACACACACGCAGGCATACTCTATGTTAGTGYGCTCACTTAGATATTGWTATAATATATATTTATGTACATATGTATTAAGCAAGTGTGTACTGTAGGCCATAAAGTCTATTACAGAGCTGAGAAGAACAAGTAACAACAACAACAACGATCTTAGAAGAAACATGGAGAAGCGTTAACTTCGGTTGCATTGTGATCGCCCAGTTTATATGGCGCTATATGCTGTAGTGACTCGATTTCGATAATTTCTTTGGAAACAACACCGTTGCTTTGGACAATAAGAGTCTTGTAGAGGGGGGTGATGAAATGAAAAAGCTTTTCATACAATCACTTTATGCTAAGACGTCTGTGTAAACTGACGCTGATCAATACCAGAAGCTTCGTCAGGATCGGTAAGGTTCTCTCCCAGCCAATCCGATACCAAACAAGGTTTCAGACAAGGAGACTCCCTATCATGCGACTTCTTCAATCTACTGCTAGAGAAAATTATCGAGCTGCCATCAAACAAACAGTCGTCGGACTCGCGACTTGGCTCTCACGGCACTGTTGACAGTCATAACTTCGACYGTAGATAATTTCGTCTTTCTTGGAACCAGCAGTAACACCAACAACAATGTCAGCCTCGAAGTCCAACGTAGAATAACTCTTACCAATAGGTGCTACTTCAGACTGAGTAGGCAATTGAGAAGTAAAGTCCTGTCTCGATGAACAAAGTCCMAACTCTATGAGTCACTCATTATTCCCGTCCGTTGCGTGTTTTCAAGAGAAAGGTTTTGTGTCAGATTTATGTTCCTTTGCACGTTGTCAAAGGCGAGGATCACTTACTTTACTAGCATATACTGTTGTCCTCTCATTTGTCCCTGCGTCCCCATTATATCGGCTAGAAAATAAGTATGTGGGCTATTGACTGCTCTAAAGCTAACCAAGCCTATATGTTCTTAAAATGTATGTCAATCAATAAAAGAAAGTGTTTTTTTTTTATTCTGAGACCGAATGTCAAGCTCTACTTTTCTASTACTTTTCCTTCGACTAATTGCTGACACGGTTCCCTTCTTTGAAATGGCTGACTTCAGGCCTGTATCACCAATCCATCTCGGAACTGTCGTTATGGCATCGTTACAGTTCACATCGAGGGGATCAGCTTTCATTTCATAATGTCAGCTATAGATCCTTAATAGAAGATGACTTGTACAGTGTATTTTTTGAAGGACCATCCTCTGTGCTTTGCTGAAGATTGAAGTGTTGTAAGTATTTAGCTTCGAATTATGCATTAATAAACGGCATGGCCTTTTCCTTAGTATGTAGCTACTGAGGAACTGTAGTTGAAATCCTTCTTACTGAACACTAATAGCATTACTCCTAACAATACTGAGGAAAGCGGTTTATATCTTTCGATTAGCAAGTCTAGAAATTTGGTAGTTCGTAGTTCTCAATGCTCCTGTCAATCCTCAAGCTATCACCTTAACAACTTTCTAGATCCAAGTCTCTGAGGTTCTGTTTCTGTTTTCAATATATGTTCTTTGATTTTCTGAAACGATMAAGTTTGCAGTTTTTAGATTTTGTTGAAATGGTTTTTAGAGTTCGTAGAAAGTTTTTTTTTTAAAACACGCTCAAAGCTTAGAAATTTCWTGTCGAGGCACCTAACTTCTACTGTCGATTTAGAACTCTATTTTGCTAACTTTTGCAATTAGTCCCAACCGTTTGCTTGGAAGTCCGCTGCTTAGTGAAGTTATTGTGAGAAATCTTTAGGCTAATAGGGAGGAGAGTAGGGTGAATGTCTAACAATACACCCAGGCTTTTCGGAGACTAACTATGAAACCAGCGGAACAAAAACTACCTCATACAACCACCCATAGAAGATGTGCAATAGTTTCTTCCTCTTCTATCTCTTGGCAGCCTCTACGGCCTGGACAGGACACACCATTCCCCCAATCTGCCCTAAACAGGCTCTTGCTCTTTCCAGGGTTGTTTGAAGCATTGCACCCTACAGGACCACCTGAGATCTTGGAACACAAGCAATACATGTCAAGTGACGAAGTTACTTTGGGGTAGTGCTGATGGTGGACCTAAAGGCTCCAGCTTCTAGGCAAGAGGAGCTTAGTATTACTGTAGCGGTCATCACTAGGCACCTACCCTTAAGATCCCATCTTCAGAAAATGGGAAATATGGAATCGATGGAATGCACGGTCTTAAAATAGTCTTAGATATCCACGAACAAAATGCATCATAAAATTAGCTACTTCTCGTGTGGTCCAATGRAATTTCTTTATATTCCAAGATGTGTCGAATTATTTCCATCAACATCGCAAATATCTTCTTCTAGAACATTAGCGCAATTGGACACTAATAACATGCCACTATGCCTCGAAACGCATATGCAACACGGTTTTCACATGCGCACAACCTACAACAAAAACGCCAATTCCGTTGCTGACTGTTACAAATTGTCAYAAAGTAGTTGCCTCTTTGTTGAGGGCACGTTCTATTCGGCATTACTCACATATGGTATGCATGTGTGTGTGTGTGTTTGACAGTTATGTGCATCGTGCTCTGTGTGTGATTGTGCCTTTTTTATGYTCACATTATTACCAACAATAACACTTAATGCTTAATCCCTCGATCGCAATAAAAACGGTGTCTGATCTTCTATTTGTTTTCTCCTGTATTTATGTAGTTTACTAGAGTACCTAGTGAATGCCGGACTAACTGCGAGTCATTTCGTCTGTGACTTCCCAACGTCGCTAAGCACACATATGTCACATTTATTAAAGAGATTTTGGAGAACAAAACAAACAGCGAAACAAAAACAAAAAACACAATAACAATAAGCCGATTAGAGTCATTCTGAACGCGAAAAACGGAAGTGAATGTGATAAAGCGGAAAAGCGCCGCTGAAAATGACAGCAGCATACATACATACAACACTTTTTCGTCTATTTAGTGAGTATTAATTATAATTAAGCTTTTGCTTTAAGTGAATTTTAAACTTTATTTCCGCTGCCGTCCGACCTTTTCTAATTAGAAGTTTGCTTGCTCATCGACACCTACTTGGTTGGTATGCTGGGTATTAATGTGGCCACAACAAAAGTGAAATCACTCAATACTCAATCCGTGCAAAATCGCTCTATATTATTAAAACTCAATAGCTTCTCTCTCAATCGCATTGAGTGAAATTGGTGATAACAACAAAAGAAATAAGAATTTAGCAGAGGTAATGGATTATTTTTCTTAAATCTTGAATTAAGAATAAGTTCTCGCTTAAATTTACTCAATCAATCTCTATGTCTCTTTAAGCGAGAGTGTAAACGTAAGAGTAGCAATTATATTACTGATTTTCACTCAAGGTTTGTTTGTATTTAGCTTCAAATCRTGGAAAATAGTTAAAAACTGCTGTGGAATTTATAAGAAAAACTCATTTACATGCTCTATTTAGCGCTAAATTATAAGCTGTAGCATATGGAACTCGAGTGAAAATACTTGTCACTCATTATATTGAAGATTAGTTGAGTATAAAACATTAGCTTCGTAAGCCTTGTTATTGAAAATCTTATCTAAATTGGTTGGATGGTTGAATATGTCTCATTTCATCCGGAAGCAGCGTGAGTATGYGCTTAGATAATGTTACAGCAACTCATCATCCTCAGCGCAAGCTCTGCAATCCGCCGACTCCACTTTTCCCATTTTCTGAGATTGGAATTTTGAGGATAGGTTCCCTACAATGATACTAAGCTCCTCTTTTGCCTAGAAGTAAGAGCTTTTTACTTTGTAGAGCACTAAAACTTCTTCTTCTACTTTATTAGCGTAGACAGCGCTTACGCTGAGTTTACAACAAGCCGTCAGTCCTTCTTACTTTTCGTTGTTTGGCGCAAATTGGAGATTCTAAGTGTAGACAGGTCATTTTCCACTTGATCTTTCCAATGCAATGCAGGTCTTCTTCTTCCTTTGCTTCTCTCAGCAGAATACTAAAGTAATTTTGTGGTACGCACTGTGCTTGTGTTCCTAGATCTGAGGTTTTCCTTTGGGTCCAGTGCATAAAAAAACTTGAAGGAGCTGAATTGCCTGCGTCAGCCTAATATGATTGTGTTTGTAGCTGCCCCTCAGCGATGCAGCTTGTATGTCTTTTCATTTTATTCTAYTCCCATATGACCGGGGATCCAGATAATATTAACCGAGTTTTGCACTGAGACTCTGTGTTCTGCCTGAGACTTAGTATTGCCGCTACGGATAGCCTTAACTGCAGCTTGACCATCCAATAGAAGATTATCAGGTTATTGGTCTTGGTGGTTAGAGCAGAAGCCAAGGGCACATCCTCTATGATACCCACAAATTTGGCCTGAAAAACTGAATTTTCTTCATTTATATTAAAGCTACCTCCTGTCATTGCAATACTGCAGAAGGATCCCTCTCCAATTCTTATTTCACCCTTTGATTCGTCGGTGATTCGCCTTTGGAACTCTCGATCAAAGAAGCATGGCCTACTCTTCTCTATTGGGGAATGAAAAAATTGTGTTTACTTCCTAAAGATTCTTCCTTTTTCAATCGTATTGTCAATTTAGCCCGAGTTCATTAAAAAGGTTGAGTATGATAATATAACCATGGAGACGCCGTCTGCCCCCAATGGCCTTAAATCATTAGATGGATAGGACGTTTTACTGGGAGCATGAATCTTACTAAACGAACCAATAGGAACCCATCGGACCAATAAGACCTTTCCGAACCAGAAGGACCTTTCCGGACCAATGATATTGCTCGCTGACTGACTTTCCGTTGGGACAAAATGCCTAGAAATAATGCATAAGTGGACAAGCCAACTCTTGTTCCAACTCTGACCAATAAAAATTATATATTTTTCTTCCAAGCTYAGCCCAGCTTCCAGTTTCCGTTACGATTTGCCACTCGTATGAATTTTATAGCCAAGCTCGAGTCAATTGAAAATAATGATCTTATAGCAAAGTTGAAAGAAACAAAAAAGTTTCGAGTAAGTTTCGAAATTCGAATGCAATTATTTCGATTTAGGGGCTAACTTCGAAAGACGCCTCCAAAAATTATAAAAACGAAGAAATTCATAGCGGGTTGAAACTCGTCGGTAACGAAAGWTGAAATAACAAATATTAAGGGAGATATAATTTACGGGCAATCTGAGAACAGGAAAAGTAAGAGGTGGGCGTGATTGAATTTTTAAGGGTTCAAAACGATTTACCTCGATTTCCGGTAAAACTATGAACCCTAGAGAAAAAAGTTGTTTGGTAATGTTGTAGGTAATGTACAGATCTAACTCTTTTTTTTATACATTTTTTTCACTTCACCTCAAATGTACGTTTTTTCTTTTTAKCTTATACAAATATTTTTTTCACGAACTTTAGTATAAACTTGCCTTCTTATATACTACACACATATATGTACAAAATGTATTTTTTATTTAATTATTAAGGAGGAAAACTGATTTCGAATTTAAATCGAAAAACCCCTAATTATCATTAAAAAATTCTTGAGTAAAAATTTCAGATTTTTTTAAAAAATCAGTCAGTCAGGCTATATGTTTATTGAAATATCTACTTTCTAATAGCATAAAATATTTACAATTACTATTGTTTATAATCTCAGAAAATGGGATAATAATCAACTATTTTTTTAATTAAAGTTAAACAAATTAATTAATATTTAAGCGCTTAATTTATTTAAAAATACAAATTTCTTTAATATTATGCAGCGCATGTGGCACACACATACATATCTATAAGTAAGAAATAACAACTCACCACCACGACCACATGATGCCCATGGAATGACCAAACAATTTCACTCAATCAGCACAGCGCACGCAGCGCAGTCAGCAGCGCTGAGCGGCACTCACTCAGGCAACACAAAATTATTCACAATTCACAACTTGCAACTTCAGTTGATTTTGAGCACGCAACGGTGAAATACAAAGTATGAAAAGTGCACGCGTTCAAACGTTGTTGTGACAAACCTGAGTTTTTAACAAGAAAATAAGTGTACATACACACACGCACACACACAAGTAATGTAAGAAGTTGATTTAATTAATTTTGGCTATGGGAAAATTTACTCCTGTAAGGCGAATTTTCGTGCACGAAAAGTTTTGTAAATTTCATTACAGTTATTTGTTAAACAGAGTATATAATACATAATAAATCGAATTGAATTACAATTTGCTGGCGGAGCAAAGCAAAGCCGTCAAATAAGTATATAATACTTTGCCTAAAATTTTTTTTTTTTTATACGACAACCGACCACTACGACTGCTTTTGTATGTGCGACTCCTCCTGATTGTGGTGCTGCGCGTACACGAAACGGGTAGAAACCCGAAAGTGGAGAAAAAAGTGTGAAGTGAAAGGTGCAAAATTTTTGTGAAAAATGCTATGTGTTACTAAATACATAGATACAAACACACGTTAGAGTATACTTGTTGTAAGTAGTATATGCATTTAGCTGCATAAGCGACGTTTCGTGAAAAACCAATTGTAACAAAAGTGTCAATTGGAAGTGAGTTTTCCACACAGGAGCCCAGCAATAAGAGCAACAACAAAACGAGCGAAAAATTGTCAGTATCGATATTTTTTGGTGGAAAAAAAGGATAATTCGGCGCCGCATAAATCGGCGTACTACTAATGTGAGTCAAATTTTATCTACAAAATGAATAAATATAGGAGTGCTATGTGTATATAATATACTTTGCGTATATATAGTATGTAGTTGCAATGTTGGTAATGTGTACATATTTCAAAGCGATATGATATGTACATATGTATGTATGTAAATATTGTTTATACTTTGCCCAGTTGTTTAATTGTTGCACGCTATTTTGCTTGCCTTCTGCCGCTGCTACAGCTACTCTTTGCAATCATAAGCACTTATTAGCTACCTACAAGTCTTATAATTTTTTAATTACAACTTCAAGTGAGAATAGTCAGGTGGCGTAGCCACATACAGCAACACATACTTGCGACTTTGTTTATCTGCGTAATTTATGGGCCGCGAGATACAATGTACAAAAGCAAATATGGCATGAACCACAAAGAATGGTGACAGCTTAAGGGCCCTTCATGTTGTATGACGACGGGTCAAAAGCGTTATTTACTCTTTTCCGTTTTTTTTTTTTTTTGTATTGCTTCTTCATCTAATTTCTGTTTTGCAAAGTACTCATATAAGCGTTGCGCAAACACTTCTGTGCTTTGCATTACTTGGCTTGGTAAATTGCAACGTTTTTATTGAGAATTCATCATCGCATCAACAGCGGTAGTCTCTGCGGTTGCTGCTCCTGCTGGCTTGGATATCGTTGCCAACGCTGCGGTGCCAATGTTGCCACTTAAATGATTTTTTGCTTGCCAAATATTACTTTCAAATTGATCCACAAATTATATAAAATGTTGGAAGCGAGATTTTGTTTATAGAACAAATTATTAATATAACATGTAAGTTAATGAAATATTACAAAGTTCTTATAGCAATTTATAATATTATTAAAACCATTTTTGGTCCTATTTTTTACGATAGATTGCCAGCAAACTGCAGATAGTCTTTGYACTAGATTAAACAAATTTAATTTTTTTTTTCAAAAGTGTGTCCTTCAAGTGTCCTTGAATGCACCACTACCCTGCAGGTGGACGATGACCACTTCGTGGCAATTGATTTTAACATCAGTATTTTGAAACCATTTTTTTGTCTATTTTTTGTAACCTCAGCAGTTATAAAGCACTTTTTTGATTATTTGAAAATTTAATAATATAACTGCTTTTGAAAAGAGTAAAAGTTTTGACTATGTTTTTCAAGCTAAAAACATAGCGAGGTACTTAGTAAGCAATAACAATTTACAGATTTCCAGAAACTTGTATAATTTTATACTAAGCTAGATAACTTTTGGAAACAAAAAACAAATTAGGATGAAACCCATCGCAMACGAAAGATAAAATAACAAACATTAAGGGGGAACTCAATTTACAGACAATCTGAAATAGGATAAAGGAAGGGAAGCGGCGTGTTTGAATTYTTGAGTGTTAAAAACGGTTAATCCTGATTTCGGGCAAAAGTACGAGCGAAAACAGAATATTTTCAATAACTTCTTTTCACATTAAAAATTAAATAATTTATTCAAACTTTTCATTATTCTAAAGATACATTTTATAAAAAGATTTTATGAAAATTTCAAAGAAAAATATGCAAAACTCGGCTGTTACTCGGATAAAAGATCGTTAAGAGGATAAACTAGGCGTTGGACGAAAGAAAACAGATAAACGAAAAATTATASTTTTCGCATACGTTTTTACAAAGAAATTGAAATTTTGTTGAACATTTCTCGATGTTTTTATTTTTTTAAATAGTTGTAATGGAAAAAAAAAAATCTTGCTACCGAAATCATCAAATATATCTCGAAGATCTGTGTAAAATGTCTTAAGATGAAGTCTTCTCGATGTTTTTTTTTAAGTAGTTGTTATTTAAAAAAATCTCCGTTCGATTTTGTAAATTATATCTAGGAAACCTGTGTAAAATTTCATTGAGATTGTTTCAGAAGTTCACATGAAATCTTGACAATCGACTTTGAAAACACCGTTTCGAGAAAAACACTTTTAAAATTTTAAGTGACTCTAGCTGACTTCGAACCCAAAATTTTTCAAGGCTGTATCTCCAAAAATATTACTCTGATCAAATTGAGTATTTAAAATAGAATTCTATAGATGTTTTGGAATTGAATAAAATAATGCATTTTTTTTAGGAAGCCATAAAACCCAAAGCCCAAAGCCAAAAAAGAAGTTTCATACTTCTTAAAGATGAACTGTTTGAGCTGATTGAACTGAACGGTTACCTTTTAGAAAGCTGTAACTCAAAAACTGCAAAACCTATGAAACACCTAAAGGGTAAACTGATTAAGACGATTGAATTGAAAGGGTACATTATAGAAGACTCTAACTTAAACACCAATCGAGATAATGATTTAAAATTTATTTATTTTTTTGTGGTAGTGTAACCTGACGAAATATAAAAAAAAAATTTCATTTCACACTATTTGTGCTACATAATCGTTAGAATTCTTTTAAAATATAATGCGCGCATTTGCCATATTCTCTTTTTAAATATAAAGAACGAAATTTCTTTAAATATTTTAGCAACAATAGCATAACTACTAAACTACCWATCTTACCAATACTCGCATATGGCAGCACCATACCACCGCAYTATTACCTTCAACATACACACCTTTCCGCATAATTTCGTCGCTACGCTCTCTCGCGACTCTTAGCTACCGCGTTTTGAGTGAAATCTCGCGCTCAACGCGGTTTCATCTCAATCTCCGGTTTGCTGCACGYATTCACAATAGATTTAAGCGCTGTAGCATGAAGTTTGGCCAGCAGGACACCCTCAGTAAGCGGCCAATAATATACCCTCATACATACGTACTACTCCATTTACAATATGTTCGTACTCGCGCTGAAAATCCAAAGTCGCATATTTATTGTTGTATTTTGTTTTCGTATTCATGTACTCATTGGCTTTTGCTTTGTGCCACATCTTTGTTCGTTTTTCATCATTTCATCTTTGCCACTTGCGCTATGCGCACTATATCAGCATTATATGTGTATGTATGTGTGTGTATACGTGCTGCTGATGTCCGAAAATTTCAGTTTCTGTTTACGAGTTTTGCTTTGCTCAGCTTTAAGGTTTTCTGACGCGTTGCCTGCCTGTGTCTGCATAGTTTTTCGATGCTCTTATGCTTAATGCTGACTATTTCTTTTCTGCTTTATTTTGTATTTTAGCTTAATTTTTATTGCTTTTTCATTGCAAGTGTGTTTGCGATGCGTGCGCGCGCGCTCTTCTGTGTGTATGTGAGTGTGCATGTTTGTGCGAAAATGACATTTCTGGCGAGCAAGGAAGTCAGTTGAAAAGAGCCTAGGGGCGTTTGCCAGCGACAGCTTTAAAATGCGAAAGGATATGCGCTGTAGTTGTTGTTGTTTCTTTGCTGTTTTTCGCTGCTTTGGTGGAATGATGTTGGCCTTTTGGCCTGTTCGCAGTTCCCAACACTTCTAATTTCATGTGGCGATGAGGCAGACATTTCAATTTAAGTTTTCGACCACTAACTTTGTTCCGTTGTGTACTTACATATATGTATGCGCGCGTRTTTGTGTATACATATGTATGTGTGAAAAAATTAATTCAGCCTAAATTTCGCTGTTCACAAAGCCATTTTTCCCATTGTGTTGGACAAATATATACATTTGCATGTAAATACGTATATATATATTTATGTATGTAAATAAATAATAAAAAGCCGCTAATCCCGCACTTATTTAGTAAATCTGTGAAATCTCTGAAATCTGTGAGATTCGTTGGCGTGTTAAGAATTCGATTAAAAGTTGTTTCGTTTAACATACATACATAAAGTTAGGCATCGATTTGCATATGAATGACTGCATTTACAATCAGTACGAGTGTATTCTATCTAAAAACATACATACATTCATACATCTATGCGTACATTGCTTTTATTTTATTTTTTGTTTTTTTGTCGAATAGTAGTTGTACTACATAYAAAGCTTGCTTAGGGCACACCTACGGCTATGTTTTGTCAGCATTTGATTTGTAAATGCAATCGTGTTAGGCTTAACCCTGGATAACTTATTGTGGGAATCATTTGAAGAAAGCCCGTTGTTGTACTTACGAGACTTTATATTTAAATATTTTGTGAAGAAAACCGTTTTTATTCTGTATTAAGAGGATCATCTCAAATATTCACATGAACTAATTGTGAGAATTGTAACAAGGCGCGCTAAATTTTGAATTAAAAAAAAAAAGTAGAAAAACTTTAACATCGACTGAGGTTGTAATAGCTTTCGTAGCTATGGTACTTATCTTATAGCATAGAAGGGTATAAAAACATATATAATTTGATTTTTATCGTTCAGTTTGTATGACASCTATATGCTATGTTGGTACGATCTGCACTATATGTTCGGATTTAGTAGCATTACCTTGCTTAATAACCCATGCGCAATTTTGTGGAGATATCTTGT